TTTGGAGGAAGAAAGATGTCGAAAATTGATTTTTCGGCTTTTTGGATTTTTTGTTTCAATGATAAAAATCTTTTTCACTTTCCTGCTAGTTGGGGAAATGGTGCATATGAGCCTGCAGAGCAGACTTAGAGCTTTCAAAAGCATATGCACTTTATCTCAAATGTAGTCAATGTTTCAAGAAAAAACTAAAAAAAAATGGACAGAACTTATTACACGACCTAATATATGCGAAGTTTGGAGGAAAACCAAATTCGAAACGTCCGAAAATCACATCTTGTTCGACTAGGTCATTTATATACTGTTTACATCAAACGTTTATACGTAAATTTGCACTTTTTCGGCGTTTAAGATCGAAAAGCGAAAATTAGGGCCAATAAAAATTGTACAGACTTTCTTATAATTTCACTAGTCGGCTTCTGCTAGGCAGACACCTCTGTAGATGATTTTGACCTGTATTGCTGCCGCCACGGATCTCCCTCATAGAGGGATTACAGCCGGTTAGTCGCGAGGCTACGTGGGGCGTCCCCAGGTGGCGGATAGGGGGATAATCGCCGACCAAAAGCGACCCCGCGCCTGCTCTGATAAGCAAGCGGAGCCCGGGGACGGACTCCCTGCCTCCACTAAAAGCTTGCGCCCTAATTTCCCGGGTAGGTGTGTGGGGAGGCGAGTTCGGAGTCGCCTCCAACAAATAAGCTCCGATCGTCCCTCGCGGGGGTTATGAGCCCAACAAGCTATCCCTGCGAGTAAATTCTTGTTCGACACAGTGATAATATGGAAAGCTCCTTTAATCTTGGAAGAGCCACTGGTAAGGCAGCGCCAGTGGGGACAAGGTTTGAAAGGCGATCTAGGCTGCCGAAAACGAGACGGACTATGATGACGATCTGTACTTACAACGCGAGGACGCTGGCATCGGACGCATCTATCGAAGATCTCATGATGCAAGCAAGGAAGATTAAGTACGACGTCATCGGACTGACCGAGACAAGGAGGCACCACCCGCTGAACGCCACATTTGAGACTGGAGAAGAACTGTTTCTAGGAACATGCGACAGTCGAGGAGTAGGTGGAGTGGGAGTCCTTGTCAACACGAGTTTGGCCATGAACATTGATTCGTTCGAACAACTTACAACTCGAATCGGACGTTTGCGAATATCAAGATGTGGATCAATCCCTGCCTTGACCGTCTTCATTGCGTACGCCCCAACATCCAGCTACGACGAGGACGAACTCGAGGAATTTTATATGGACTTGGAGAAGTTCTACAGAGAAGATCATACCTTCTACAAGATCATCGTCGGTGATTTCAACGCGAAGATCGGAACTAGAAGGTCGACTGAGGAACTACACATCGGAACCCATGGTTTGCAGTGGAACGAACAAAGGGAGAGACTGTCCGAGTTTATCATGACGACGAGGACTATCCATGGAAACTCACAGTTCCAAAAGCCCTCTTCCCTACGCTGGACCTGGGAATCGCCCGGTGGAGAGTACCATAATGAGATTGACCACATCATCGTCAACAGAAGGTACTGCCTGACGGACGTCGCTGTTGTTCCGAAGTTCTACACGGGATCAGACCATCGTCTCCTGCGCGCCAAATTCTACTTTCCGCGGAATGGAGAGAGAGCCGTCAAGTTCAGGAAACATCGTCCCATGAATACCACCAACTGGGATCTGTTTTCTTCGATATCCGGCTCATGGCGAGATACCGTGATGGACAACATCGACGAAGAATACGAACGGTTCGTACAACATCTCCACGGTTGTGCCAAGGAAGCTCAGAGTCTAAGAAGTACGAGAAGGCGTCTCACCACGGGGACTTTGGAGCTGATACGCCAACGTGGACGCGCACGAGCCACAGGCAACTACCGACTGACGTCCGAGCTTGCGAAGCGATGCAGAGAAGCGATAAAAGAAGACCTTAAGGAGAGAAGAGTAGCAGTGATGGTTGACGCCGCGGAGGCTGGAAGAAGTATACGCAACGCCCGCCGAAGCTTCGTCAACTTCAAGACAAAGATGACCGCACTTCGTCGTCCTGACGGAACCATAACTGCTTCCCGAAGATCAATGGAGAAGGTCATCCACGACTTCTACTCAGATCTTTTTGCGAGCCACGTCCACCTTCCACCATGCCATCTCAAGGAGGACGAGTATGTCGCACCGTCTGTTCTTCCTTCCGAGATTCGTCATGCTATCATGTCGATGAAAAACCGTACAGCACCCGGTCCCGACAGGATTAAGCCAGAACATCTGAAGAATCTTTCGCCAGTGCTCATCAAGACTTTGGCAAGGCTCTTCACGCGGTACCTGACGGAAGGCAAGGTTCCAAGGCAATGGAAGACCAGCAAAACCGTGTTGCTGTACAAGAAGGGAGATCCCTGCGACATCGGCAATTATCGCCCTATCTGCTTGTTGTCTGTAGTCTACAAACTCTTTACGCGAGTCATTCTCAACAGGATCGGAAGAGAGTTGGACGAAGGACAATCATGCGAGCAAGCTGGGTTTCGAAGAGGATTCAGCACGATCGACCACATACACACGGTGTCAAGGCTCATTGAAGTGTCACGAGAGTATAAGATGCCGCTCTGTCTCACCTTCATCGACTTGAAGAAGGCCTTTGACTCGGTTGAGACTGAAGCCGTCATCGATGCCTTGAGCAATCAAGGTATTCCGACTCATTACATCAAGATAATTCGTGAGCTGTATAACGACTTCACAACCACCATAACACCATTCTACAAGGGCATCATCATTGACATGAAGAGAGGCGCGCGACAAGGCGATACTATATCGCCGAAACTATTCAGTGCCGCTCTGGAGAACGTCATGCGTAAGTTGGAATGGGACAACATGGGAGTGAAAGTCGACGGCCGGCAGCTACACCACCTTCGCTTTGCTGATGACATCGTATTGATAACACCAAGCATCACGCAGGCGGAACAAATGCTGGCCCAGTTTGACGAAGTGTGTGGAAAGATCGGTCTACGGCTGAATCTAACGAAGACGATGTTCATGAGGAACGGAAGAGTGCCTGATGCTCCTTTCATGCTCAACGGGACGAACATCACCGAATGCTCAAGCTACACCTACCTAGGTCGTGAACTCAATATGATGAATGATCTAGCTCCGGAACTGAGCAGGAGGAAACGCGCAGCATGGGGAGCATATAAGACAATTGAGGACGTAGTGAAGAAGACCAAGAACATCCGGCTCCGCGCCCACCTTTTCAACTCGACAGTTCTTCCTGCTTTGACGTACGCTTCAGAAACATGGACAATGAGAAAGCAGGATGAACACGCGGTTAGCGTCATCGTACGAGCGGTTGAGAGAGTGATGCTAGGAGTGAATCGACTCACGCAAGTGAGGCAAGGATTACGAAGTTCTACCGTACGTCAACGATCGAAGATCAGGGACGCTGCCGCGTACGCCAAGCAGAACAAGATAAGATGGGCCGGGCACGTAATGCGTTTCGACGACAACCGGTGGACGAGAGCTGTAACAGATTGGATACCACTGGACGTCAAACGCGAACGAGGAAGACCGCCGACGCGATGGTCAGATATGTTCACGAAGTTCTCTAATGAAGTCCTTCAGAGCGTTCCACGTGTTCCTGGTGCGATACGTAAACATTGGTCAACAATCGCCCGAGACAGGGACGAATGGAGGCATCACTGGTACCCGCTCGTGCAACACGATGATCAACGGGGATACAGGTGATACAGGTGATACAGGTGATTGCTGCCGCTCTTGATGTGATAGATTCTTGATATTTGTTCTGCTTCTTCTCAAATCAAGAAGCTTAACGTCCAAGGGAGGGGAGAGTAGGAAAGAACAATCAGAATGACCGACTAGCGTGGGACTTGCAAAGGATGAGCTCTTGACTAAATCAATTTAGTCATAAACGTTGGAACTTTGCTGAATGTTCGAAGCTTGTCAAGGGATTAATTTTGAAGACGATGGATGTTTAAAAATGGATGTCTGAGGAAGCAAGAAACTCTGAATCAAGTGTAGAAAGTGCTTTTTCATCTCATTTTTACGAAATTCAGGGATAGTTTCAGAAACAAATTTTTGTATCATTTGGCATACACATTTTCCCTATCCACCCTGCTTTCAACCAGTTTTTTACTGAATTCGCAAAATATATTATGCTGGTCAAATAGCCTTGAAAGACAAATTGCGTTGAAAAAAATGCCTGCTAGAAATTTTTTTCGAAATTTCAATGTCATTTCAGTATTTGAACGAAAAGAACCTAATGAAGCAATTTTTTAACTGTTGAAAAAGGCCTACTAATTAGATCTTTGCAAACTTTCCGGCAAATGTTCTCAGTGTAACAATGTGAAAATTCTTTATATTGCAGATCTGGATCTTTTCGTAAGCGAAATGTCAATTTTTGACTAACAAGGGAAGCTAGTAAACTTAGCTCGGCTTTTTGGCAAAAGACATATGTATTCTAAACCAGCTTCAAAGCTGATTCCGAATATGCTATTCCTAGCTGCTACGCACCGTTCCGAAGGGAGTTATGGGCTTTTTCCTGCGCAAAATTAGCATGCTCATCGATTCACGGGCATCAGGTTCACCAATTAAGTGCTGGTACATTTGCATTAAGCTTTTTTTGGTGAGAAAAGATTAGATTTGTACTATTTCAATACCTCAGCACCCTTAATTTGCAGAATTTTATCTACAGGCAGTCTTCTCGTGTCCAGTAATATGTCAATTTTGCGTAGGAAAAAGCCCATAACTCGCTTCAAAATGGCGCGTGGCGGCTAGGAATAACATATTTGGAATCAGCGTTTGAAGCTGATTCAGAATATCTATGTCCTTGCTAAAAGGCCAAGCTAAGTTAGGTAGCTTTCCTTATATAATACGGAGCAAAAAATCGGTTTTTTGTTTGGCGCACTGTCATTCGAAAAGTTCCGCTATATTCAGAAAATAGTGATCGTCTACCATATTGTCTTGGTCGCTAAAAAAAGCACAAATGTTTCCAGAAATTGAATTTGCAGACGATCTTACATAGCTGATGCTCACTCTAATGACACAAGCATTGGCGGCGATTCAACGAGTCAAGAGTTAGACGATAACGTCACTGACGATGAGGATGAGGACGATTTCATGCAAGAAAAGGTAAGGAAGAGATGTGATCCACGCTGTTTGACCCATGCTCCTGCTATCTGAATGTCCTCGTGCACCTGAAGTTTTTATTTTGCGATGTTGCTAGACCATGTGACTGGCCTTTGTTTGAGCTATAAAGATCTAGTATGTTGAGACACTATAATCGCTACTTGAAATGTTGGATATGACGAAACGCATCATAGAGTAATGTTAGCTTTTGGAATGGCCATTACCCATTGCCTAGAAGTGTATGCTACTCACATTGTTTGCGTACAAAATTTCTAAGCATATACAGTTTTTTTTTCAAAAAATGTGCCTACTGTTTGATTGCTAATATATCTCTTGTCAAGTTTTTGGATAAGCCTTAGGTGCCATTTTCTAAAGCTGGCTTCTACTTAAATTGTCAGTATAGAACGAGTAATATTCATATTAATATTCATCGCTTTTCACTACTGTAAGACTACGGTAGAACTTCCTGCATACAGCGTCACTCCAGAAAAGCTGTCATTTCAAATAAAACTTGAGTAACAGGTTTTTGATGGACGTCAAGTTCAACACTCAATTTTGTAAAATATCGTGAAGCTTCTGAACGCTTTAATAAATATTTAGCAACATTGAAAAAACCGGTGCTACTGATTATCCAGCATATCTTTTTAATGATCCAATATGATGAGATGCAAGCTTTATATCTAGAACCAGCAACCCTAATTAGCCTGATGTGAAAGTTCTTAGCTAGTTTTGTTCCCTTTCTGAGGCAAAATATGACCGGCGTGAAGCCCTCTATAAAGTAAATCCCTAAGCTAAAGCCAGCTCTGCAAAACGGTACCTAGAGCTTCTCCAAAAACATTATAACAGGAGAGTTTTAACAATCAAGCAGTGGGCACATTTTTTGGGAGCCCCCGTATATCAGATAGTCTAAAAATCAAGCCTTTACTCCGCGAACCTTCGCATTTTCGTCACATAGAAGAAATAGATAGAAAGATTTACGTATAGACTTGCTAAATTTTTTTACCTGAATAATGAGAAAAGATTGGAAAAAACGCAAGCTTCGCCGTTTCTGGTAGATTTAGTTTTGTCTTAAGCCTCTGTATGCTATAACATAAGCTAGACAATGATTTTACACATGTGGTAGTCTAGCTTCCCACAACATCAAACCTAGCATGTAAAATTTGGAGAGCTGAAAAGTCAAAGTTTTTGATCTTTGGACCATTTCTCATACGAAGTAACATTACCACTGAGCGACGATGACGAGGTAGAGAATTTGCAAAAATTTCGAGATATGTTCGATCTTTGCGCTTGTGATTGCTTACGAATTTTGAGTAGAGGTCTATATGTCATTGATAGCTATCCGTGCAAACAACTGGCGCGACCTCATAATGTGTAGAACGTGCTTGTTGCAAAAGTTCGCTCGAATTCTACTTTTAAGCAACGTGACATGCTTTGACTTGAATTTCGGCATCAAAGTTTACATAGCTCACGCAAAGAATGTCCAACTACCTTTTTGCGGGGCTCGCTTTGCTCCAATGAGTATGCACTATGCAATTTTTGTAAGCACTCAGTGCGACAGCTTCAAAAAACTTTTGAATAGCCCTTTGCCTAAAATATAAGCCTAGCCGGTTCGCATGGCGTAACTGAGGTGCAAAATCTGTTCTTCTATGATATTCTAATTTTTTCTTTTCTGCCCTTTTTTGTCTTTTCCATTCTCAACGCTTACCACGCTCCACGCTCCCCTTTCTTTACTAAGCGTAATCTCTCTTGTACCTATAATGATACATACAGATAATGGGAGGCAGACGAGCTGAAAGAGGTGAACTTCCATGGGCAGTATTGCTTCACGTTTGGAAAAAGAAGTCTTCAAGAGGTGAGACGTTTCTTTGTTTCAACACATTCACAGCAAAAAGATTTTTCGACGGCTGCCATTTTGGACTAGAGCATATTTTGCAATGTTGAGTTCGCGATATTTCCCAGCTACTGACGAGTCCCATGGTCTAAAGTGTTAATCTTTTGGGGAGTTTTCTCAGAAATGTATGCAAAAATCTATTCAGTTTACCATAACGTTTCATCGTAAAGTAGCAAAGTTGTAAACTTCAGAAGGCATACGACCCACTGGTGGGCCGTAATGTCGTGAATGTGTTAAGAAAGTACGTAAGTACACTACTCGCAATTTGCCTTGTCTGAAAATTTTGGCGAGTGTTATTGAAGTAGCTGTCAAGTAGTCTCATTGAAGTATGACTAATATATTCTGATCACTTGACTTATGGACAGGGCCCGGCACAGATCGTCTGGAAGCAGGCTGGATTGCGTTTTTGGAGCAAAAAGCAAAGGAGATATCGTTTTTGACGAGTCGGGGCCGAGCACCAAGAGTAAGCCTCATTTAGGTCGAATACAAGCTTTTCGGACAGGGTATCACACGATTGGCATGCTCTATCGTGCATGGCGAAAAGTGCGCGCGATTTGAAAGCAAGATTAAAATAAACAGATTTGTTTACAGCGCACACAGAATCATATGACACCATAATTACACTCTATAGATAGAAAACTTGCAATAGAATTATGCAAAAGGATCTGAAAACTTATATGAAGTGTTACCTTTTCCAAAGATCGTCTGGAGTATATAATTCTGTCACTTCACATAAGTTTCGGATTTGCTTACCATGAACGGATTCCAGGTCAAAAATCTATCCCTGAGCAAGAAGACATTTTCATATCACTGCCTTTCCTTTGTTTTTGCCTTCATTTCCTCATAAATCGCTTTGTTAAATTGCGCGCTTCAATACCAAATTCTTGTGCATGCGTAGTGTTCAGCTCCAACTTTTATTTTCATCCTTTTCATGTTTTTTCTCTCAGATTAGTGTATCTTTCTTGTTTTCATCTTCCCCTAAGTAGGTAGGTCAAAGGGGACTTCGTAAAACTTCCAAGGAAGTCAGGGGAGACTTTGTTTTAAGAAACCCTAAAAACCGACTCCTGCCGGGCCCTGCTCATTTCAGCATATTTTATGCAAGTAAGATTTTTCAGAAGACGCTATGCGTCGAAAGCTTGCGTTCACGCGGATTACGAGCATGCGCAATGCGCGCGGCTTAGATGGATGTGTACGCGCAGACATACCAATTCGCGACATACTGTGCTTTACCAATACGCTTACAACATCTGAAAGCAATACCTTTGATTCAGATGAACGCCTTGCTTACACCGTCAAATACTTCTTAATTTTGTGCACATCGAAACCAATGCGAATCTAGATTGACATGATGAAGTCATTTGATATGATTGATTGGAACTACGGCCCGTAGTAAACCCCACTTCACTTCAGATGATCTCAACTGAGGGGCTGAGTTGAGGTATTTAAGATAAACTGACTAGCGGTCACTCTCACACTTAAGAATGCGACCTGATCTGAACAGTTAGCGTCAGGGCATGTGCCGCTAGTATTCACCTGAAATCCGTAAGAGCAGCCTCGATTTTGAAATGAATTGACCGAGATAGTGTGCAAGGGATGAGACGCAGAGAAAAATCCCGTAAGTTGCTCGTGAGTAACTTACGGGACATCGTACTTGACGTATTGTTGCAGTACAAGAACGCGCAAAACTTATACCGGTGCCCAAAAAGGAAAGGATCAATGAACAGCTGATTTCGGCAAAAAACAGAAGAATAGGTTTTTTCGTTTATGCAGAGTTTGCTTAGGTTTTTTCTACAAAAGCTACTCAAAGCGACAATCTCTTTAATTATTTCCTTTCGATTTTGTCCCTACTTCCTCAATTTTTGATGAAATTTTGGTTAAAAAAAACACAGTTTTGTTTTGTGCATTCATTTGGTTTGTGGATTCCTTGATAGCGGCCGTCATCGATTTTCTTCGATAGTGGCCGCTACCAAAGATTGCTCAGTGATGCGCAAAAATTCGCCACTGTCCGGCGCTGAACCACGGTCGTGCGGGCTGAGTACCAGTCACATACCGTTTGACCAAACCTGCACAAGAGGTGTTTCCTCTTTGATAGCGCGCAAGATTTTTATGCCTGAAAAGTGTTCTGCATCTAGACCAATAGCTCGCGGGATGCTAGACCGAGGCGCCATACGATCAACTCAGGTCCGTCTCAACGCAGATCCCCTGGAGGGGAGTTTACTACGGGCCTACAACTTTTTTGAGTTCTTACTAAAACAGATGGAAGCACAACTTTGTACGGAGGAATATGCGGTGGAACGCTGATTTCAACACGACATGTTATCACTGCAGCTCATTGCTTCCAGGCAACGGAGAGCGAAGGTCAATGCAGGTAGATCATAATCGTAACTGCAACCACTTGTTCCGCATTTTCCTTGTAGCACCTCAAACATGGTCTCACCGGACTTTGTGATAAACAATACGGAAGTTTTTATTGGCGGCACTTGCAGTTCGACAGGCAGATTTGGTTGTACTAAGTCAGATATTGGTAGAGTTTACAAAGTTGCCCGGTACGTCATAGCATCACTGTGCTCACAGTCATTTTTATGCAAATATGTCATTATAGCGCATTTTACGAGGATTATTTCAAATTTGGCTGCACAGACACTCACGACATAGCGATTCTTGAGTTGGCTAAGGATGTGCCAAAAACAATAAATCATGTTTGCTTACCTTTTATGCATAAAGTGGAGGAATTAGAAGATCCTTATCTAAAACTAAGAACGTTTGGATGGGGAAGAGATCGTATGAGCCGTCCTGCAAAAAAAAACATCTCATTAGCTCATTATTTCAGCACTTAATCATGACAACAATCTTTCACCTTACTTGCAAATGACGGACTTAGGTAAGAATGTGGAATTCTTCTTCATTTTCCGACAGAGATATTTGATAAAGGTGCAAAACTACCGGAAATAGAGTGCAGGAAATCTTCTAAAGCAAAAGATACGTTCTGTGTCAAGTCCGGTCAGCAGGAATTTTGCAGAGTGAGTTTTTTATGACACACGTAAAGTTTTGTGATTCAATTATTTGCCACCTATCTCTAAAACCGCAAAGTGACTATTCCCGCAAACTGATTAGATTTCTTCTGACATATCATGCTTTAAATATTAGGTTGATGCAAAAATAATGAGCGTTTTTCTAGGACTTTTTTCAGGACAACTTTTCTTCATCAAACTTCTTTCTTTGGAACGTTTTCAGCATATTGTTAAAAAGTTCTTTTCATGCTCTATCTATCACTTTTTAAAAAGGACTTCTAGCCTACTTTATTGATAATTTATATTGCTTAAAATGATCATACTTAAAACCAGATTTCCGTTGCATTCATTTTTCTGGCCAGAATTTGAACGCAAATGAAGATGCTTTCTAGAAAATTTAGCCACTACATGTAATAGAAATTGTCTACATTATGCATACTTAACCATATTTTTGAGGTTATCTAAAGTGTATCGTCGCCTTAACATGGGAAATGGTTGTGGTCATTTTAGAGCCCATAACTTTCTGTTGAAGAATGCAATCGCTCAAACTTTGCTCATTTCTGTAAGCCTGAGGGTAGGTCATCCTGTTGCCAGTTCTAGCAAAAACATTTGCTGTTCAGTGAGCAGAAAATTAGAAAATTCTACACCTCGTGATTTTGAAGCCTATTGAAAAAATGCTGAAAAAGTTGATATTTTTGCATTTCGACTTTTTTCTTCTTCGCTAATCTTTTCTCTGCAAGCCCTTTCCATGTACATTTGTACTACTGGCTTACGGCTACAAGATAGGCTGCTTATATATTATAATAACAAAGTGTGAGAGGAGTTATGTTTTGTCAAAAACGAGACTTTAGAAAAAAAACTTATTTTTGTTCTTCAATCCATATTTTTCTGCCCATATGAAATATGAGTATAGGACCAAAGAGACATCCTTCCAATCCTAACTGCTCAATTGCACTTTTTATATAAAACATTTATATATGCCAATTATATTTTTTCCTCAATTACAAACCAAAAAGCAAATTCACGAACTGTCGCCAAAATGATGCTCTGCTTGCCACATAAGTAGTTTATACTACAAGCCTGAGTAAACGCCTATAACAGCCTGAGAGACTTACAGCATTTTTTTTCATTTTTCCGAACTGTTGAATTTTTCTTCCTTTTTTCCTTTGAGATTAAGGTGAAGCAAAGCTGGTGTAAAAATAGGGATGACTAGAGCTTGCACTACCCTAACAAATGATCCTTCCAATCCTGTTCAGAAATTAAAAGTGTAAAACTAATTTGAAGTCAAAACGGACGGAACTTTTGGGACTACCTGATACTAAAGGGCTACATCCGAGCGGTAGAATTTGCTTCGATTCCATATAACTTAATCATTGCAATTTTGACAAATGCGAATTTTCTATTAAGTTAATAAACTGCAAACACTTTGTGAACATTTGCAGCTCACAGCTCACATCTAGATATCCGAAGCTGCGCACGCCTTATCAAAAAAAAGTTTATAGAAAACTTGCACTGCTTGTCAATCTGACTATTAACTGGTAGCCAATGTATGCATCGTAAAAAGTTATAGTTTTTTTTTCAATAGACTTCAGCATATAATTCTAAAAAGCAAGGTAAGCTCTAAAAGATGATCTTAAACATTTGAAAATTTAATCCAGGCAAAGTTTAAAGCCAGAAAATGGTACTATGCAAAATAGAGAAATAGATTGAATCTTAGTTCAAAAAATGCGGGTTTCCTCTTGCTGCATATATGCCCCTGTTGTAGAGATGATCGACGTAATTGAGAACTCGCTCACTATTGACAGATTAGGCTAAGGCGACTATGTGGCTGCGCGTACCCGCACCTTGATATGTTTACGTGTTGCTATGTCTCTTATCAAATTGTTCCTAGTGGACCCGCGGCATATACGCTGATGTGCAAGGGACACCTTTGTGTTTTACTAACAAACGGTTCACGGCTCAACATCTTCTACTATAGCTCCCCTATAGGGTATATACACCTTTCCTCAAATCAAAAATAAAACTTTCAAGCTTTCACTAGAGCAATGCTGAGCTGTTTCCACACAAGCGGTTGAGCTACATATTTTTGAAATCAGATTATTAGTCTACAAGAGCTAGTCTTCGAGCAACATCAGTTTGGTGATGGAAATCTGATGAGAGCTGAATTTGATTGTGATCTATTGGTATACTTCCAACAAAAAAAACTTTGTACAACTGCTAGAGTAGGAACAGCTTTGCAATGCTGGGCAAATCATGGAAATGTCAGGAGTTTTTATGTCTTTAGCTGGCAAAGAGAAAATGCGGCAACTATACATCGAGTCAAATCGGAAGTTTGTTCGCACCACTTTCAAAAACGTAACGTCTTGCTTTCTAAGTGGTTTTGCATTTTTGTTTCCTTATCGAAAAATTCATGTATTTTCTAATGGCATCTTTTTGGCTTTTCATCACAGGTTGCACAGAAGTAAAAAAAGAGAGTAATCAGGTTATAATTTGAAGCAAGGTTGTCAATATGGAAACACTAGCTAGATCACGTTTATTTCATGAGTTTCTTGACATCCTCTTTTTGAGCAAAGTTCGTGCAGATCGAGTTCTCTATAAAAGCTTGTGATTGCAAGGAGAATGTCAAAGGTCAATTTTGATGTGTTGTGCTGTTTTCACATAAATCATAACTTTACATAGAGACGCCGATTACGAATTTTGCCCAGTATGTGAGCTAAGCCAATGACTTTTTAAAATATTACATTTATGTTTCCAGTTTCTTGGCAAAACTGCTCAAAATCACTGGGAAGTAATAAGTAATGAGCTTCTCCAACTTTCATCTCTGCAAAGCCTTGAGTGGAATGTCAACGCCATCAGAAACTACATGCTTTCGTTCTAATAAAAATGTTGCGGTGCAAAACTAAAATCAAAAAGGAAATTACAATTTTCGAAAATGGTGCGAACGAACTCAAGATTCTATCTGATGTAAGTTTCATGAGGAATAGTGCGGCTAGGTGGGCTCAGCACCCCTTTGCTCGCTCGACTGCCTGCACAACCCCGCGCCTTCTATCTGCAACTTTAGCGCCAATTAGCTACTCCGGCGCAACCGCACTACAACTTACCCGCCATGACTATCATGACTTATAGTAACCTAAGGGTGTTTACGTGTTACTGTGTGTCTGTCTGTCTGTCCAAGGACAAACGTGTTGATGCGATCCTAGACCCTCTTCTACGCCCCCCTCCCTCAAGGCACCCATCCGTACGACCCCCCTCCTCACCTACCCCCCTCCCTTCTCCCACTTACCCCTTCCACTTTCATTTGCGGTAACCTGCATAAAGGAACGTCAGTCTGAAAAAAAAAGATGCCTGCCAATGGACCTCAATTAAAATTATAGATCAGTGATAGATAACTACTTACAAATTGGGAAATAATGCAAGTAATGCTTCGCCATTTAGAAATCAACTCACAAATAATTCTGCGTAGATTGGGTAAGTAGCAAGATTCCACAAAGTTTTGGCTATTTTTATTGTGGTTGGGAAAATATGAATGGAAAGGACTTTATCTGACAAAGGAAAACATCGATTCCAATCTGAATGATAATTAAGCTTTACTTTGAGGTTTACAATTGACGGTCACCGTTGGTAAAGTTATGGGATTTTGCCGAGTGTGTGAGACTTTAGTGGGGCTTCGGAAGCAGAATTTCTGAGCCAAGGGGTACGTGCAACATCTCTGGCACGCATACACATCTTCAATAATGTTACGGTTTCTGCAAGTTTTTTTGAATTTTCAAGCATAATTCTGGCCAGCAAATTCGGTCCCCGTACGCAACCCATATTTTGAAGGGAGGCAAAACGATAACTTTGAAGCGTAAAATATGTTTTCGATTAACTACCTTGCGAAAATCTGTGCAAAAAGTAGGAAGACTTACTTCCTACTTTTTGCTCAGATTTTTGTGCAAAAAAACTCTTCTTGCGCCATCCAGAACGATGTCAAAAAGTGCATGAGCACGGTATTTTGAAAATTCGTACCTAGAGGCAGGGAAGACTGAGAGGCTGCAATGAACAGGCTTTGTAGCATAGAGCCCATACTATCCATGGAAAAAGTTCCAGCCATTGAGGATCAGTAAGCTCGAAAAAATCTAGATGCGACTCTCGCAAATTTACATGCGATTCTAAAAAGCAAAAACTGGGATTTTTGAGCTTGAAATTTCGTATCTCACCGGAGAAGTTATGAAACAGACTGAAATTTTTATGACAAAAAAGTAGAGAGATGGCCCCGTACTACAGCAAGGCAGCCAACAAGCTGTCTTGCTGTCTGAGTAATAAAATTTTTAATAAAGTAAACTTCTGAGCTGGGGCCCGCACGTCACGTGAAGCCGGGCCATCTAAGTATGTAAGTAAGCTAACAAGCTTCAATAGCTCGGTGAAATTTAGATGAGGCGCAGATACGACCCCCCTTTTCTTATTTTTTGTTACCTACATAAAATCATAAGAAAATCCACACTTGACAAAATAACACCAAATTTTGCACTGATATAGCAGAGCATCTCCAAAGTACAGATAAATCATATGGGCCCGTGAAAAACATTACAAAAAGATCTAGAAACATGATGGTCACAGCTGGTAAAGATATTCGCTTTTGTCGGGTGTGTGAGACATCAGGAAGGCTTCAGAAGCAAGATTTCTAAAGCAATCGGTACACTTAGGATTTTTATCAAATCATACATCCTTCAAAAGTGTTTTGAGCTCTTGTAAATGTTTTTTTGAGAACTTCTACAGATTTCTTATCTTTTTTATTCTGAATTCCATTTTTTATAGATTTTAAAAAACATAACTAACCTTCTGCTTTTGGATTTCCTTTTAAGCTTAGGGTATTTTAGCCTAACCACCTCCTCTTACGACTCCCCCCTCCACCTTAGGTACCCTCTTTACGCCCCCCCCCCCCCCCGTTGCGACAGTCGCATTACAAGCTTGACCCTGTGTTTGTCTGTCTGTCTGTAAAGAAATTCACAGAACGAGTCGCAGACGAG